CGAAAGGATCCTATGAGAGGGGGAAAAAAACACAATAAAAGCAATGATCTTCAGCTATATATTGATCTTCCAAACTCTCTTTCTATCCATCCAGCTTGCAGCTAAACACGCGACACTCACATTAAAACGACCATTGTTTCCACCTGAAAGGACCACGTTTCCTGCCCCTCTAGGGTTACAGGGGTGTACCCAGGGCCGGCACAACCCATTAGGCAACCTAGGCAGTTGCCTTGGGCGCTAACATTTGGGGGGCGGTGACCGCGGCGGCCAGATCTTCGGCTGCCCCCGTTGTCGTCGGTATTTCGGGGGTGGGACCTTCTGCCGCCTGTCGGGGGCGGCATTTCCGGGGCAGGACCTTCCACCACCTAGGGTGGCAAAAACGCTGGCAGCGCTCCTGGGTGTACCTTGAGCTGTAGTGCACGGCCTGTGTCTGTGCTTACCTCGCTAGTCCTGGAACAGCTCCTCGGGAAACAGCACCTCAGCCCTTCTGGCCTGGAATAGGAAGAGGAAGGATTAATCATTCAAACACATAACAGCCCATGTCACCGTGGGGCTGAAGGGCTCCTGCTACTCAGACTGCACCAATGGGCACAGAGACCGGACATAATCTGATTCGCTGCAAAGGGACCTAAGAGGAGAAAAACGTAGGGGAGGCAGAGCATCAGCGCCACCCTGTGGTGAGTGGCTTACATGACTAGTTTCTGCCTTTTTTGGAAGAACAAAGTTCCTAAGGGGGAACTGTTTCCTTGCAGTGAGCCCAGGACGAATTCCCACCAGAGGGGCTGCTGCTGGGCTAGGGTGTTAACTTGGACCCTGCCTTCCTTTGCAATCCCCAAGCCTCTTCAAGCGCAGTCAATTAGGACTCCAGGAACAGAGGTGGTTGCTTTGGGTAGGTCTACACTTGGGGCTATTTCGACCCTGCTAGCATGGGTGTAACAGCAGTGTAGATAGTGAGGCCTGGCTAAGGCAAGTAAAGGGACGCTTGAACCCTATGGCTATGCACCCTACATGCCCAGAATCGCCCTGGGCTCATGTGCCCATGGTGGCTGGGGTGGGAGACTCAGTGGGGACAAGAGCCAGAGTCAGTCCAGAGCGACTGTAGGAGAACTACACTGCGAGCTGGACTGTCCCCATGCCAGGCAAACCAACAGGCTGCTTTCATGGTTAGCGTGGTCTTGCCTCCAGCTTTCCTGTCTTAGTTTTAAGCAATTGTCCTGGCCTCCTGAGAATGTGAATAACTCCCACAGACTCGCTGATCACCGTGACCACACTCCCCCGGAGCCTTCTCCTTGCCGTCAGCTCCCTCACTCCCTGCCCATAACTCTCCTCCCACAGTCCAGGGACCAGTTATTTTGCACTTTGCTGTATTTTGTCTAGAGTCTCCTCTGTAAATGTGTGTGTGTGTGTGTGAGGGTGGGGGTAGGGGTGAGGGTGGGGGTGGGGGAGGGGTGAGAATTG